TCAGAGCCTGCAGCCTGCTTTGGATTCTGTGTCTGCTCCTCCCCTGCTTGCACTCTGTCTCTCTCTCTCTCTCAAAAATAAACATTAGAAAAAAAAATTTTTTTAAAAGAATAAAATAAAAAGTCAAAAAAAACATAATAAACTCAGATTCTTCTTACCTTCATTGCATCAACATGAATTTCCTTCAGTTGCTGGATATAATTATGCAGCTTCTTTCTGTCACCCAAAGTACTAAAATTATAACAGGATAAGCAAATCCGTCATTATTTGCTTAATAATAATCCCTGGAGTATATAATAGCATATAATCAACTCTAAATTATCTACACTAATAGAACGAGAAGTCAGATTAAAAGGAACAATTAATAATTCAAACATACGCCCCCTCTAAAATTCTCCCCCGAGGCTTCTGTCCTTGATTCTCCTCTCTTGGTAACTCAGACTTCAACATCTCCTACGTCTCTACTTAACGCTCAATTTATACTTCAGACTTATTTTAACCTAACCGAAGTTGCCATCTTCTCTCACAACCCTGAATCTGCATGGTTCAAGGTAGTACACGGAATTATAGCATAGAGATAATGAAAAAGGACTTTGAAATTAGAACTGGTTCACATCTGCACATGGAATCTGTGTGACCTTGGGGGCAGGGAGAATCACTCAACCTTTTTTAGTATACTAATGTCCTCATCCATAGCACAGGGAAAATATTATCTACCTTACAGAGCTGGAGAGGGATTAAATAATGTATTCAGCACTGCAGTTAATGATAAAGACCCAGTTCCTTCCCTCAAGAGCTAGAGAAATTTAACTATGATTACCGGTGTCACAGAAATCATCACTGATTATCAATTCAATATTTACCCTATCAGAAGTATTTTAACTATAAGAATTTAGGAATCTATTAGTGTGAACAAGTGATAAACATGTGAACAAAGTTCACATGATAAGTCCATGAAGAGATTTTTAAATTTATTATGGTAATGAGTTACAAAGGTCCAAGTCTGACTTATGAACATTGGATATGACTTAGGCACAAATCCAATATATATGAAGGCAATAGCTTTACTTATACCCATCTTCTTTTGTCAGTAATCCCTTGTAATGCTTCAGTTTGAGAAATAAATTTAATAGGATTTAATGTAAACAGCTCAAAATCCTGTAATTGGTTATCCGGCTTCATTTACCTAATTGGTCCAAGCAAATTAGCCTGACACTTGGCTAATTATCAACAGAAGCAGCATGTAAAGGGGCAGAATTTACTGACCTAACAGCTAATTAGATTGAAAAATAAATCTTTTGCTAAAAGTCCTAGATACACTTAGAGTCAGAACCGCTACAATTGGCCTCTATATCATATTAAATCGTACTACAATCTAAGAATCACTTTCTTGGGATATATGGAGGCATTATTACAGCTGATAAATCATAAAGCAGCATACACTGTGTTTTCCTATTCTCTTACCATCCTCATTAGTTTGATATAACAAGCAGAGGGAAAGGCCAAGCTTGGAGAAGTACTTACAGGTCAGCGATAACGGAGTCAGGTTAAGTATCATTGCACAGTTGAGCACAACCAAGAGTTACAGCATAAAATACCAAACCTAAACCAATCTCATTGCTTAGTATTTACTTGAACTGATACTCGGTATTCATTACTTAGTAAAACCCAAAAAGAAATATTCACAAAGAAATTGCTGATTAAAGTCTATAAAATTAGGGGCACCTAGGTGGCTCGGTTGGTTGAGTGTCTGGCTCTTGATTTGGGCTCAGATCATGATCTCACAGTTCATGGGACTGAGCCCCATGGTAGGCTCCAGCCTGTGGTGAGCTCTTGTGAGCACAGCACAGAGCCTGCTTGGGATTCCCTCTCTCCTTTTTCTCGTCCCCTCCCCCCAGCCCCCCCCACCTACCCACATGCTCTCTGTCTCTCTCAAAATAAATAAATAAACATTCAAAAAAGATAAAATCTATGAAAATAGACACCCAAAACCTAGAGGTTTTTTGGTTTATTTTAACGAAGGTTATAAAAACAATACAGTATCTTAAAGAAAAATTTAAAGTATTCAATGGGCCAGGGCGCCTGGGTGGCTCAGTCGGTTAAATCATCAACTTTGGCTGAGGTCATGAAGTCCTGATTCCTGAGTTCAAGCCCCACGTTGGGCTCTCACTGTCAGCGTGGAGCCTGCTTCAGGTCCTCTGTTTCCCTCTCTCTACCCCTCGCCTGCTCACTCACACACACACACACTTTCCTTCAAAATAAACATTAAAACAACAACAACACGGGGGACTGGGTGGTTCAGTTGGTTAAGCATCTGACTTCAGCTCAGGTCATAATCTCACAGTTTGTGGGTTTGAGTCCCGCATCAGGCTCTGGGCTGACAGCTCAGAGCCTGAAGCCTGCTTTGGATTCTGTGTCTCCCTCTCTCTATGCCCCTCCCTGCTCGTGCTCTCTTTCTCTCTAGAAAATAAACAAACATTTAAAAAAAATTTTTTTAAAACAACAACACTATTTCAAGTATCCATGGGCCATAGTTAGACTATAAGATTTCATATGTATATTTCATCATTTCCTGAATCTAAAATGTCTTACAACTGACATATACAGTTAATGTACCAATGTTTCTTATTTCTTAGAAAAACCTTTTATTTTTTTTAATGTGTATTTATTTTTGAGAGAGAGAGAGAGAGAGCGAGCACGAGCAGGGGAGAAGAGGGAGGGGGACAGAGGATCTGAAGTGGGCTCCACATTGACAGCTCATGACCTGGGTCAAAGTCAGATGCTTAACCAACTAAGCCACCCTAGAAAAACCTTTTAAACTGGGGCTCCTGGATGGCTCAGTTGGTTGAGTGCTGACTTCTGCTCAAGTCATGATCTTGCAGTTCATGAGTTCAGGCCCTGTATTGTGCTCTGTGATGACAGCTCGGAGCCTGGAGCCTGCTTCAGATTCTGTGTCTCCCTCTCTCTCAGCCCTCCCCTGCTCTCATTCTGTGTCTCTCTCTGTCAAAAATTAAAACAAACCAAAAAGAAAACATCTTTTCAATCAACAGTTGATCATAAACTTGAGAAAATTTCAGTACTTTTCTAAACTGGACTTCCTCTTAGAAAGCAGAATCTAAGACAAGACCTTATGTACAGGTAATTTATTTTTAAGATGTGAATCCTAGGAAAGGTAAAACAGGAAAGGATGGAAAAACAGTACTAGGTTATATTAATAAATTGGCTGAACTACTACCACTGTGAACAACTTTGCCTAATCTCACTGGGATCTTCAAAGGCAGCTCTAGCCAGCAGAATTTTGCTAAGATAGAAATGTTCTGTGTCTTCCCTGTCCAACATGGTAGCCACTAGCCATAAGTAGCTATTGAGCACTTGAAATATGGCTAGGTAAGGAACTGAAACTTTAATTTTAATTAATTTAAACATGTAACTAGCAGCTGCTGTATAGGAACACACAGCCCTGAAAAGTCCTGCAGAATATACCTCAGAGTTACACGGTGGGCACAACCAGATAATGTTCATTTGAAATTCTGTTTTGTTCACTCATGTCTCCAAAGTTCCTAGAAGAATTCCTAACATGTAGTGGGCCCTCCATAAATATTTGTTGAATAAATTGGTAGTATTTGGGTCCACAAAATATATGGTTCTCTTTAAAAGCAAGACTATTAGAATAAATGCAATTCAATTAAAATAGTAAGCAACTAGGGGTGCCTGGGTGGCTCAGTCAGTTGAGCGTCCGACTTTG